TTAAATCTCCGGACCTGTTGCCGGAGCCGCAGAGCCGCACCGCACCGTAGTCAAAAGGGCAGTGTGAGAGGGGGTGTGCGGAAGTTGCGGTCTCCGTCGGCTCGGTAACCGCACCGGAGCCAGTGTGAGCAAGGGGTTAGACTTCTGCAACACATCGAATATTGCTTGGGTCTGGTCGCGAACTAGTTTTGCTGGTATGCTTCTGCACCGTCGGTCTGGACTTTCTAGGGACGCAAAGCAGTGTGCCGCCAAAACACAAGGAGGAGCCTATTGGAGAACTCACGAGAACGACGGATTGTACTTCCGAACCTCCTCGATTAACCTTTCATCGTAGTTGTTCCTCGGTTTTCGAGAAGGAGACACAGACAGCCGGAAAGGCATACCAAGGACCGATCACAGCTGCTTCTTGTCTGCACACTGTCTGCGCGTTAGAAGGTCTGCGACCGTCCAACGCGTAGTCAGGAGTTTTTTTGAGGTGCGCGACAACGATTGCAGAAGCTCTGCGCTGCGGAGTGTGTTCGCATACAGAGACAGATTTGATGGTTGCAGAGGCTATGTGTCAGAAGCATAAATTGGCCTTAATTCAGCTGAAGGGCCTTCTGTGGAATGAATAGTTATGATTCCTGTTTGAAATCAATGATAAAGTCTTTCGTGTTTTTGTAGCAAAATGATGGCTGTCAAGTGTTGTTCATGATTAATGACAGGTTGGTTCAAAGAAAGGGAAAGATTATTATGCTAATAGATTAATCTGTTGATCATTCTTTCAGATTACCCAATTATTAACAAGATGCTAAAACTGTTTATTACGAACCTCGAAGTGTCCCAATAGAGGAGATCTGAATGGAGCATTTAAAGACTTGCAGCAGGGGGCCAACCCGTAACCGGGCCATCAAAGTCCCTACTAGTACCAGACTATAGGAAAAATAAACTACTAAAAAAAAAAAAAAAACAATAATCGAAAACAGGACAACTGGTCCCACCAGGCCAAAATCACAATGAAAACAGCATCCAAGCAAAGGCTAACGAAAATACCGCATGGCAGCTTGGAGACGTCACAGATGGCCGCACAGTCTAACTCAGAAGATGACAAAGAAATTAGGTTCTTTGTCATCATATGGCGACACCCAGCCATCAGATTTTAAATGAAATATTTACACTGAGGTGAAGGCAGTGCTTTTAAAAAAAGTGTATTTCCTTATGGATGGTTGGATGGATTGATGGACATTATGATCCATCCATCATAGCGTCCACCAGAGGGTGCTGTAGCAAATACTCACAGCCTTAGTCAAGCCGCTGCCTTAGATATAGAAGCACAGAGCGAAACCTTCCGTGTTTATTGCTGTGTTAAAATATTTAGGGTCTTAGGTATATCTGAAAGATGTCCATTAAAAACATTGTTCTGTTCTCCATTGATTTAAACTCACGTCAACAACTGGGCTCCAATTATCAGCAGAAAGGTGACTCCTAATTACTTCTGAACAGAACCAATGTGAAGATAAGGTATGGAGGATTATAAGATATTGCACTTTAAAACCAAAAAAACCAAGAGAGACGCAGAAATCCTGTAGAATTTGATTTCAGGGCCTACTGCAGCTCCCACTGCTCTGGTGCTTATAGATCTAGAATATCGGATCTGGGAATGTCTGACAAGGGAAGCAAGGGTTTAGAAAACAGGTGGATTTAAAGTTTCACCATCTCCAGAGATTTAATAGTTAAATCCTCAGTTTTTTAAACTTGGGGGTTATAAAGTATTTGGATAAAAAACAAAAAAAAAAACAGTTGAGCGTTTCCTCCCAACAATGATCCTCCAGCCTTATAGTCACATAGAGTCTGGTGTGAATCCTTTCCCCCTGACGGGGCATCAGATCATTGAACACTTCTTAATGGAGATGTTGTCCAGAAAAGACGAGCCGTTGCTTTTTTAACCAAAGAAATAAGTTTATATTAACGGTTAGAAAAACATTCAAGATTGTAGCTTCTGTCTGCAAAGTGAACCGGAAAAGTTCAGCGCTCAGGTCTTAACATAGAATTAAGGTAATTAAACGGATCATGGCGATGGTGGCGTCCCTGCAGACCGCTGTTTGTCAGACGCCGGCTCTGCATTTTGTGGTAGTTCAAACATCAGGCGCCTGAAATGAGGGGTCATTTCTCCTGAAAGGCTTCTTGTCGGACACTGTTGCCTGCTTTTGGGCTTTGTTTCGCTCCTCTCCATCAGCATGGACACTATGTCATTTACCCATCAGAAGTGTTTGCATCAGGGGAGCTGTCCTCCCACTGGCTGTGTAAATAAAGCTCACTCTGGCTCATTTAGTTGGCTTAGGGTGGTGCAAACATCTCTGCATGTGAATGGGGACAACAGAGGTGTAGCCTGTCCTATTTTAGATGTTTCTGTCTCTGTTTGGTATCAGTTTGAGCTTTGTGGAGAAGGTCCACTCGTCAAACCTCCCTGTCCTTGTTTTGATGCAGATCCCCAGCGTCTTATGTGTCATTTTTTTCCCCCCTGCAGTGCGGGATGTCCCCATGCCGTCTGTGGACAGCGTTACTGATGTCTGTTCGAAGCCCGCTCCTCCTAAATCCACTGATGCACCGCCCTCTGGTTCTCCTCCCACTGCTGTCCAGAGCCCCCCTCCCAAAGATGAGCCCAAAAAGAAGAAGCAAGAAAAAAAAGGTACGAGGCAGAGGAAAGACGCAGAGAAAATTTTTGGCTTTTGATCGCTGGAGAAATAAATAAAATCACAGGTACAGGTGCTAGTAATGCCAGGAATCAAACTGTTATTCTAGGTTTTATGTTCTCTGCTGAGAGTTCATCCCTGAAGATGAAGCATCCAGACATTCTGAGATCTTAGAGTCTTAGTTAGAAAATGTGGATCTGAAGATTTGAAATCTTTGTTTAGTGTAAAATCAGGAAATCAACCATCCATCCATCAACCCATCCATTTATCCATCCAT